TTAAACGGGCGCGTGCGGGCGCGGCGTGAGGCGCCTCAGGCCGCCCCGGGGACAGGGGCGCGCGTGGGGCATGCGCTGAGGCCGAGTGTGAGCGCGAAGCTGCCGGGCACACAGCCCCGGGGCTGGAAAGGGCTCCCCAAAGCCTGTCAGCCCTTCGGGAAGGAGTTTGAGGGAGGCTGCGATGCTGCCCTCCCTGCTACTGTGACACCCGTGGGCCCTCTTGACAGCACTAGTGAAATAATGGAGATGCTGCTTTTTGTTCCTGACTTTTAAACTTGGAAATTTGTATGAGGGAGGAAAAAAAAAATGTGAACAGCAAGGAATTATACCAGCATAATATCAGTATAATCAGTTTTCTTGTATAAGTCTCTTAAGAATGAAGTGTCTGGGGTTCTTTCACAGGCAATGTTAGTTCTTGCTTATGCTCCAGACAAGCTTTGTGTAGGCCCTGGAAGAAATTAGCCTGTTAGATCCAGGGTCTCCTGCTCCCAGCTGGGTCCAGCCCCTTCTAAAATGGCCCCATCCACTTTTTAGTCTTTGCAGTCTCCTACTTTGCTGCTCCTCCAGCTTTTCCCATCTCCCTCAGACCTGGTGCTTCCAGGTGCCCAGCCTGGAATCTTGCACCAGGTTCTTGCACACCTGGAGCCCTGGGGAAGGGCAGGATATGGGGTTGATGGTTACACATGGCAATGCTGCCTTCTGCAGAGCCTTGGGAGCTGGGCTGTAGCTTCAGCCTCTTCAGAGAACTGCACTATCAGCCCCCCTGCCCCTGGTTTAGGAAGCCTTTCAACTATGATGGCCCAGCTTTTCAGGAGTAATTTGGCACCTACTCCCTAGCGCTTTAATTGATTTCTGCTGTCTTCCTGTATTTACTGTACTGAAAGGGAGGAAATGAGCTTCTCAGAGCTAAACTGTGTTGTAACCAGGCAGTCTGTGCTATTCTGCATTACAGAAAATTCAGTAATTCAGAGGTGGTCCCCAGTTGCCCAGAAAGGCTGCCAAAGAGATGATCAAAGTAGCTTTACTTAACTTATCCCCTTTTGGAAATAAAGTATTTAATTTTGAAAGAATATCTGCATGAGTGAAATAAATTCTCTAGTTTAATAAGGTAATCACATTCCATTACAAAAAGCAGTGATGTTTGTACATGAACCATTTGCAAGTTACAATTAATTCATCTCACTGGGGCTAGTGAACTGTTGGAAGTATACGGAGCATGGATTGGTGTTCAAGTGCTGTGGATCACATAGCAGTGACACCGGCAGCGTTGCCCTACTGAGATGTCATACCAGCACTTCCAGTGCAAGAATTTGTTTTGCACAACGTTAGTGGCTCTCAGGTGCCAGCTGCACTGTGTTGTTTCCTGTAGTATTTCCTGTCTGAGAGCACTGTTGGAGTGGTAATGAGTGAAGCACCTGCAGCTCCCTCCCAAAAGCTGATTAAGGCCACAGTGATACCTGGTCCTCTCTGCCTGCGCGGGCAGCCTTTTGTGCCTGTCTCACTGCTGTGTCAAACTGCAGGCTGTAAGAAAGTGACTCCTACAAAAAATTTAGGAGTTGGACGTGTGAGGCCTCTTAAGCATTTTCAGAAGCAGGGAGGATGATTTCTCCTTTTTTACAGACTTTTAGGATAGGATATCCACTGATGCACATTCTGGGAATGGGATCACTCCCTGTTCTCATCCTAGGGTGTTCTCCCCACGCCAAGTGTCTCACAAAGATAAGGACAGCCAGTGATCTGAGTTCCAGTGCATCCCTTGAGGTTTCTTTGCATGTGAACTGCTGCTGCTGGGATTGGGACTGGGGCTGTTGTTTTGAAGCGTGCCCCTGCAGTCAAATGTTTCATTACCAGTAATTAGGATAATTACTGTTAATGCAAGCAAGTAATCTTGGGAATGTTTTCATACTGCAAATTGTTCCTCACCTTTCTGCCCATTAATAGGCAGCTGAAATGTTCTTCCAAGTATCTCCTTTTTGTTTTGCTGCTTTTAGTTTTTTGTTTATTTCTTTGTTTGCTTTTGTTTTCAATCAGTGACAGCAAACAGCTGCGGAGATTTAAAATTAGGTGCACATGAGACGATAGCTCTGCCCTTGGTAGATGGATCTTCCTTTACTTCTTGCAGCCGAGCTCTGTCCTTATCAGCCTGGTTGATGAGGGAGTTGATTATGGTCATTGCGGTGAATCTTTTCCATTTACCTCTCTTGGTTTTGGAAATAATCCCAGCTTGTTTTCTGCTCCCTTCCTTTGCTTGCTGGAAGTGGTCAGGTTTCAGAACCATAAGGTATAAGGAAGAGGAGGGAGAGGAAATATCAAATTCTTTCACCTCTAAAGAGGTGCTGAATTGTTGAGGGAGGAGGTAACCTTGCTGAATTCTGTGATCTGGTTTGTGCTTCATCCTCATTTCTTGGAGCTGTGTCCCTATAAATTAGATTAGTACTGAGCACAGTAATTTAATTTTTACTTATTTTGTATCCTTAGTGTCTGTAGCTGCCGGCTGTTGTTATTAGAACTAGCCTGTGCTTTTTGTCTGCATGCAGGAATCGGAATTTGTATGGGTGATCATACGCTACATTCAGAATATACTTTCAGTCAGCTCAGTTTCAATGTCAAATCATGAGTCTCCCGGGAAAGCAGTAATTTCAGCATAAGATGGAGGACAGGACAGGGTGTAGCTTATTTGCTTATTGCTGTCTGCTTAAACTCCTCTTGCATTTGTGCAGTAACTGATCATTATCACCCTGCAATTATTCCTTACTGCCCTTTCACTACTGCCTACGTTGGCAAAACAAGCAACTAGAGCACTGGAGATTGTGCTTGCCTATCTAGCCACTTTTTCAGATAAAAATGGGGCAATTCATGCACGAGTAGTATAAAATACAAATGTTCACATTCCAGAGATTGTTAGTGCAGTAAAAGAGAATATTAGTTGCAGATGTCTTGGCAGAGAAGGAAGTGATCTCACTTCCTTACTGCATTCTTGCAATCTTTATTACTACTTTGCGTTATCTTCCGACAGATAATGGTTTCGATTTGGAGAGGTCTAGATCCCTGCAGGTGGATGGCCGCTAGCTCAGTTAAACCTTATGAGTTTATTGCCCCATGGCTGTGGGGAAGAAAGCAGGGGGAAGAGGCAAAGAAAGAGGGTGAATATGCAGTGGTTTGCAGCACAGGATTCTCTTTGGGATTTTGGATTCTGTTCCTAGTCGTATCATAAGCCTGTAGTGTCATTCTAGATGTGGTATCAGCTATCTCTCAATTTATCTGTCAGTTAATGTAGGAGAGAACTGGAGGATTATATGCACTTCTCCTCTTAGACTGCAGTATTTTCAGAAGGTCTCTAATCTATAGTCACATTCCTGCATGCTCTGTTGAATCACTAACATATAAACTGGAAAGAG